GTGTAATCATGCCTGCTATTGAGTAGTCTGTGGTTTACTCTATTTACTTGTCTATGGATTAGACTATTGACGATTCTATTGACTACTGTATAGACTAGTCTTTAATACATATTTAAGGACTTTTTTATTCACTATGGTGTCATCTATGATCTAGGGCCTTATTAATATACATTTATCAAAGGCTTATAAAACTAATTTCCATACAAAATTTGTTCTATAAACCTTTGATAAATGTTTATGAACAAGGCCCTAGATCATAGAAAAAATATATATTGAATATTCTAGGGACCAGTCTACTGAGTAGTCAGTGGTTTACTCTATGGACTAAACAAGTTATTAGTCTGTATAGACTAGTCTTTAATACTTCTTTCAGGACTTTTCTATTCACTATGGTGTCATCTATGATCTAGGGCCTAAATCATATACATTTGTCAAAGGTTTATAAAACAAATTTCCATACAAAATTGGTTCTACTAAATTTTTAATTTCTCCCTTCCTGCTACTACCATCTGCTATTTACTTCGTTTAACATATAGCTTTTAATTTAATTAAGAGCTAAACTTAATGTTTAGCAAATTAATTTGTAACTAATGTTTAATCTACCATAAAACATGTTTTATTTGCGTATACTTGATTTGTTTAACAAAGAATTTTCTTTCAATGGAAAACTACTTTTTAGCTGTTTTTCATACATTTACTAGCAATATGAATTTAATTTTGAAAAAAGGATTTCTGTACAAAATTTTTTTTTTTCTTAGTTCTGTTCGTATTTTTTTTTGTTTTTGTTTCCCATACATGTTCATTGAAACTTCGTTTACTTTTCTAACACCCTTAAGAAATGTAATTCATTAAAAATATGTTCTCAACATAACAGACATGGAAACAAATGATGGTAACTGGCAGCCAGAGCATGAGCTTGTTATGGCTGTAAATGTATTTGGGAAAAAGAACGTTACTTTACCCATAGTCGAGGACTATATATACAGTTTTTTTAATTGCATTTCAATTACGAAAATAGTTCCATTTTTTTTGCTTAATTTCCATATAAAAAAAAACTTTACTATTTTTTTCTTCTGCTGTATTTCCATATTAAATATTTGCATGCAGTTTTTTCCTGCTGACTGGCTACAAAAAAAAAAAACTATGTTTAAAGACCTATACTTTACATCCTTGTCCTCTGCTCCCGATATTTATAGTTGTGCCATTATTTGTAGGGTTTCTCTGCTAAATGAATCTTTAGCTATTTGCAATTTCTACTTATACTTACTACTACTCATTCTCATATTTAATGCATAAACATTCCGAAAACCCACCAGTATATTTATACGTTTAAAACAAACTCATAAAACAATAGTTTCGAAATAAAGCTCAAAACTACCAAAACAGAATAAAAAAAAATTGTTCTTGACTGTTCCACATCATTGAAGAAGTAATTACAAAATGATTTTTTTTTCTCTGCTTTCTCTCTCACTGTAGATTCATTGCAAAATATTTACAAATATGAGTGAGTTTTGGGGGGAAGTGTGTTGCCATATACATACATAAATATGTATATTGATAGGTATATGTGTGCACTTTATTTGTCCTCTTTAAAAAGTAATCATAGTTTTATGAATGTTATATTAAGCTCAGATTTAAGTTCAATAGTGGTAGTAATAACAATTTTAATAAAAAGGAATTTTAACAAACGTAAACGAAACTAATGCAAAAAATTAGCAGGAAAATATAAGCTACAAGTAAAGCTAAAAATGGGTCATATGGCAGATTAGGTAGTTTTGTTGTTACTTACATGTTTAATGAAAAATTTTACCTAAGTCAGGTAATTTTTGGCTTAAAGCTTTAAAGCTTCTATTCTGAAAATAAATAAGAACCTATTTTTTAACTCTAACTAAATATGTTTCAATCAACATAACTAAAACCTTTTAGGCCTTAATATCCCCTTTAGAAAATTAAGTTTTATTTGAACGTTTTTTTTTTCAATTTAAATATAAAACAATCTATTAGTTTGTTGGTTTTAGTTTCTAAATCTAAATAATTTTTTTTTAGTAAATCCTTTAAATCTCCTCACACAAAACTAAATTGAATACATGTTTTAATTTATTTATTTTTTATTTATTTATTTTTTTTATTTATTTTATATATTTTTTTGTTATTTATATGATTTACTAACAAATCGCTTTAGTTGGATTTAAACCATAACACTTTTATTTAAACCTAAAATCTTATTGATATATTTGTTTGACATTTTGTATATGTATAGTTTTTTGTTTTATAGAGATAACTACTTTTTAAAATGTCAACGGGTTTTTTTAAATTTATTAGGATTTTTTCTTGTTTAATTTTTATACCCTACACCACTTTAGTGGTCCTATGCCCACCTTAAAGTATACCAATCGGCTTAGAATCTGAGTCGATTTAGCTATGTCCGTCCGTCCATGTAAACCTTGTAATCAAACTACAGGTCACAATTTTGAAGATAATTGAATGAAATTTGGCAGATGATCTTCTATGGTACCGGAGACGAAGCCTATGGAAAATGGTTAACATCGGTCCATTATTTCACCTAGCCGCCATACAACTGAACCCGACGAATAAGGATTTTAAGTTGATAATTATGTTTAATATACTCGTATCTCAACAAAAAAGTTCTATACTAGCCTTGATGATCCTCATGAATTTTATAATTATAGGGCCTCATTTGATCATAGCCCCTATTTAAAGCCCCCTTCAAAATTTGACTTAAATGTCTACAATTTTATTCAACAATAAATGGCTTAAGTATATCTGAGGCAAGGTACAATTCAACTTAAATGCTTTATTATGAAAATCACATTTTATTTTTGTAACAGGTGTAGGGTATTTATATGGTCGGCCTCGCCCGACTATAATTTCTTACTTGTTTGTATCTTTTTTTTTTGTAATTTACTGCCTCTTGTTCTCTATTAATTTATACTGTTGCCTATTTTATGGCCCTTCAATGTCGTCGTTTTCGTTGTATTTCATGTGCCTTTTTTTTGCATAATTTATTTTCAGTTTTATTTCCGTTATGAACTAATCAGAAAGTGTAATTTCCGTTTTGTATTGAGTGCAACATGGTTTCTTTCTCATCTCTGTTTTTTTTTTTTTTCTGTTACTTGTGTTGTTTTATACATGAAAAAGGTTTTCCAAACTGATTTTATGAAATCACCATCTTTATTATACGAAAATTTCAACAAAATAGTACACTGAAAAAAATCCTAGCTTAACTTTAGGAAAAACAAACAAAACTACTTTTTTCGTAATATTTACGAAAATTTCATGTATAATACGAAATATGTATTATTAAAACAAAACCTTTTCTAACATTACAGCAGTACGTAAACCTGTTAAGCCAAAATTTTCATTAAGAATTTCACCCATAAATCTACAAATTAGAAAAATTATTTTATATTTTTCAATTCTAAATTTAACGCACTTTTCTTTAATTTGAAATCCTTGGCGTTTTACTAATTTGTCTCCAATGCCACATTGTTTAACACTTTTTTTTTCGGTTTGTTTTTTTTTTTTTTATTTAATGCCACAAAACTCTTTTTATGTCACATATAACAATCCCTTTAGAGAGTGAAACAACACACACACACACAGAGAAGTACTAGTAGTAGCTGCTCTAAAGGAACTAAGTAACCCACAGCAATCATAAATTCATTGAGTGAACATTGTACTTAATACTTTAAACATTTCATATGCAACATGTAACATAATCATGTAGACAAAATATAAAATATAATAAAATTGTTAAAGGTGGCATATATAATGCAGGCAACACTAGTAAATAACAATATGATAGAAACCACGTTGGTCTCTGGTTGTAATGTCTGTCCGTCCGTCCGTCCGTCCCTCCATAAGTCCGTCTGTCCTGCCATTTGTTTCACAATGTCTAGTTGTATGTCTAGGTTTAAATATAAAACAAAAGGTAAATTTGTAAAGCTTTTTATGCAGGTTTTCGGTTCAACCAAAAAAAAAAAAAAAAGCACGAAAAACCTAGAGTGTAGAGTAGAAGAAGACTCAACAACTGGCTGCTAAGTCTTGTGCATGGTTAGCTATGTTGTAGTAGTAGTTTTAAAATATTCCAAAATTTTAGCATAAACTTATAGGAAAAAAATGAACTATAAAAAAAAAAATTCCCTCATGTTTGTGAACAAATGGGATTTAAAATACAAAATATAGTATAAACAAACAACTATTACATACACATACAAACAACAGACATACATAGTTTTTTTCTAACAAACATTTGCAGTTGTTTTTATTAGGGTAAGTGTGGAATGCTACAATAAAAAATCTTTAGCATATTTTTAGGGGCCGAATACAATCCAACATACACAGAGTTTATGCCTGAGTGTGAATATTGTTTTCCATTGTTTTTATATGGCAAGCTACTTAATAACAAGGGATCTTCTCCTAGATTTTACTGCATACTTTTAGGTAGCTTTAAAAAGGCACATTTACTCTAGTATATGTAGATTTTGCTTTTTGTGTAAAGTGCCTTAAAATGTTTATTTATTTACTATTTTTGCAGTGTTTTGCTTTTTTTATTTTTTACTTTTTTTCAAGATTCAAGTTAAAATAAGCTCAACTACATTTATTTTTGATGGCCTTAGAGTACATATTGTAGCAAAATATACATATTATATTTTGCTGTTATTTTTTTTTTTTTTTGCTTTATTTAAGGTTTTCAACACAATGTGTCAACAAGTTCAGTCAACACCTTTTTAAAATAGCATTATTCTTCAGCATTAATGTGCAACAATAGCAGAAAAACAGGGAAAATTTCCATTGTTTAAAATAAACTTTCAAATAAGGATTTTTTAGCTATCGCTTTTTTTACAAAACGTGATCTATTTAATTTTTATAACTTTTTTATTTAAGTATTAACAGAATTGCTTTTCATTTATGACCCTTTTTTTCCCTCAAAATAAATCCCCCTAATTAACAAGTTTCATTATTTTTTTTAATTTCAGGTAAACCCTCAAAAGTTATACATTTGCGTAACATTCCAAATGAATCGAGTGATGCTGATGTCATTGCCTTGGGTGTACCTTTTGGCCGTGTCACAAATGTTCTTATATTAAAGGGCAAAAATCAAGCATTTTTAGAAATGGCCGATGAAGTTTCCGCCACAGCTATGGTCTCATGTTATAACATTAATCCGCCACAGATGCGCGGTCGCATGGTTTATGTACAATTTTCAAATCATCGTGAATTAAAAACGGATCAAAATCATGGCGTAAGTACTTAATTGTTTATTTTATTTTTTAAACATTTTATGTTTTCCATTTGAGTCTGTTTTATTGTAAAAAAAAAGAAACAAATAAAGAGCCATTTACTTATTTAAGCAGACAGTTAACAAATAATTAGAAACAAATTTAAAGTTTTTTGGAAAATTATTATAAATATTTGCATTTTAAACTTATCTTTAAACAAAAAACTTGTATAAAAATTATAAAATTTCTCATTCACCCAAATAGAAAATTGAAAAATTTCAACCCAAATTAAAAAAAAAAATTCAAGCAAAAATTTTTAAAAATTTCTCCTAAAATGTTCACAAAAAATTTTTCACTCAGAATATTCACTAAAAATTATTTGCCCGAATTTTCATTATGAAAATTTGTCACTTTAAATTATCATCTTTAATTGATCATTTGTTTCTAATTAATTAAATATTTAACAAAAACTTTTTAAACTCCATTCAATTACTTACATATATTTATCTAATATAAAATTTAACATTGTAAAAAGCCCGCATTTACAGGTAATTAAAATGCGTTTCAATATTTTAGTCAAAGAAAAAGTAACAGCATCAACTGCATTAGCATGTAAACTTCCTATGTGTGTGTGTGTAAAAAAAAAACTTTACAACTACATACAATACTTTTCAATTAATTAAAAGAATATCATGTTCTGTTCTCTGCACACATGTCTGGATAAGTATTTTTCTGTCTCTCAAAATACCGGTCTTTGTAGTAATTGTGTTGATTTTAGTTTTCAAAAACTCTTGAGCAAAATGTTGGTTTAGTTCTTTTTTTTTTTTTTTTCAGTGCACAATTACATACATACTTACGTTTTCCCTGTCTTCCTTGTGCACGACTAAAACTTTAAACAGTTTTTGCCAAAAACCAATTTTCTAAATTCAATTTTCATCTTGAACCCACTTAAACTTTGTTATAAAGAAAGGAAAGAATCTAAGCATACAAGCAAAACAAGTTATGAAAAACTAACATGCAACTTTTTTTTCAACAAAAATTTTGGAACAAAAACTTAAGTGTGTGTGTGTCATATGATATTGCATTTTAACATACCATCAGGAATTTTTCTTTTTCCGCACACACACACACATGAACACACCAGGTCACAGAAATACCTGCTGTTAGACTTTTTATAACCGGTTGGACTAAAGTTGTGTTTGTTATCACCATTAGTGTCTAGCTGCAGTCAAGTCGTCAGCACAGCACGTGCTGCTATGCTAAAAATGTTTTCTACTTTTTATAGCATACAACTAGGCGAAAGAAATATCACTTTTACCTTTCATCTTTCAGTGGTGCTTTAACTACAGATGAAACATCAAAACAAAAATATTTTTTTTGTTGAAAAGCAACACAAATTTTTCAAGATGAAATGTCACATTTATATGATTAAACTAGCAAACCGCCCTTTCCTCTATAGAAGAGATAAAAATCCAACAAATAGAAATATTTTCAAATAACACTTTTGTGCTTGGTAGTTAAAGTTAACTTTAGACAAATACTTAAATAGTATTAGTCACACCAACACACACACAGACTTTAACAGACATGCTGTCAGTTCGTCACATCAGTCATAAAAGTCAACATTTGTAATATGAAACGTTTTCATTGCAGACCAATTTTCCATACTACCCTCGTGTATTTATGTCTTGGAAATATAACTTTAAAACATTAGCCAAAACTACTACAAATCTTACGTTAAAGTTAAAAGTCAGTCATCACTGTCCTCTCAACACATCACACAGCTGAACTCCTCCTAATCATGTGTGTGTTAGTGTGTATTTTCAAGATAATCTTACATATCAAAATTGTTCGTTCATATCATTGATTGTAGTTTACAGTTTGCAAAACCTAAAGATTCTGTGTGGATAGTAGGTGTCTGTGCCACAAACAAACAATTCTAACTTTGTATTTATGGTATTTTTAAAAGATTTTTATGTCCTTTTACTTCGGTTTGACTATTACGTGTGTTTAAGAAAAAATCCTTAGATTTCTAAGCAGGTGTGTACACGGACATACATACATATGTATATGTGTAGGTATTTTACCTCATTTATAACATTTTTGCCATACCAAATGGCAAAATATTTTTCCAACTTTTCTTACGTTTCTTTCACTTTTTTTATGTTATTGTTGTACGTATGTATGTATGTATGTGTATTATTGTGGCCATATTTAGAAGATCTATTGTTGTCATCATCTTTATCCAACTCATTCATACATATGGCTGGCAATATGATTGTCATTTCCGTTTCGTTTCATTTTTTTCACTCACATTATAGTCCTTGTATTGTTGTTTAGGTGGCAAAAGGTAAACAACATCTGTTTTTCCAATTTTCCTTAAGAATGTGTAGGGGAAAAAATAATAGAAAAACTACTCTTGTATGCAGTTGAAGAACACATGCTTTCACGTAAATTAAAATATAGAAAAATAGAGTTCTTCTCTCTGGCTGGTTTTGTAAATAAAAACTGTTAAGACTGTTTGTTTAAGAAGAAAAATTTTGATTTAAAAAACTAAGTTTTAAAGCTATAAAATAAATTATCTTAAAGAAAAATTCACTGAAAATTTTCATAAATCATTTATCAAAGATTTTAGCTATAAAAACTTTAGGACTTATTGTAGCATTTGCTAATATTTAGAATTGATTTAGTCTTAAAGTCCTTCTTTTATCTCTATAATATACCTTCTTTTGCTATGTACTCTTTACCCTATTATCTAGCTGAATTTATTTGTCTATTTGCGGGAGTTAAAAAATAAAGAAGAAACATGAATATTTTTGTTAAATTATTCCATAAATTATAAACTCTCAACTGCATGAAATTTGTCAAACCCTCAAGCATTTAATATGGTTCAGTGATTTCAATTTTGTATGAATAATTAGGTATGAAGAAGCCGTGAGCAAAATTTTAGCCATTGTTGCTCACTGTATAGAATAATAACGAAATCATTGTGCTACTGATAAAATAATTTGTTTAAAGATTTTGCTATCGTGATCTTAACTTAAATTAAAATGACTTTGGAGGATTTTTAGGAAAAACATGCAGCTGATCAAAATTTGAGCAAGATATTTAAAAACAATAATTGTTGCATACTTTAAGTGCTTTCTAAAAAAAAGAGAGGGAAAACGTTCTACAGTAAAGCTAGAGTATCTACAAAATGTGTTATTTTAAAGATCCAAATTTGAGCAGAATCTTAAATAAGTAATATATAGAGCATACTTTATGGGATTATAAGATAAAATGTCTAAAATCTGGGTTTAATTTTCATAATCCAAATTTGGGAGTTTTCAAGAATTGTTTTGTTTTTACTGTGGAAATTTGAACATAACATTTGAAAAAGTAATATATGCGGCATACTTTGAGGGATTTTTAAGAGATACAATAAACAGGGAGGTCTGATAGATTTTGTTTAGTTTTCAAGATTCGCATTTCCAAAAAATGTTTATTTCAGCTTTTTAGTTTAAAGTAAACTTAATATTTTGTTATATATTTGTTATAAATTTGTCATTAAATTTCATTTTATTTAACATATAATATGCGTAAACTTTTCATTTCTAATTTCTTGCTTTAGCTGTTGTTATTATTGTTGTAACCTGTCAACAAATTATGTATTGAATTAATCTAAAACCAATAATTTAAATGTTGCCCTATTAATTAGTTGTTTGTTTTCCTTCCTGCGTGTCCTTTCATGCCTGTATGTATATATGTATATGTTAAAGTGTATTAGTGTTTGTTGTTAATATGAGTACACAAATATACTTACGCACTCCACTCACTCATTCACCCACAATGGGGCCTCCGCTTATAATCCATTTTAATAAAACCTGCATATAGGCTGTTATATGTTATAAATCTATAGTAACCCAGTAGTTTTGCAAGGTGTAAATGTGTTCCTTGCAAATTGACTTGCCATCATCATTAAGTTATCCAGCGATTAGTTAATTGTAATCAATTACTGTCCCCAGATTACTGTAATCTAAGTGAAGTCTGTAGAAAGATGAATCGATTTTATTCTACTTCACGGACATTAAAACAAATTGTGTCACCGACTTGCCGGGCAGTTGTTCTGAAGAGTTTATGTGTTAGTGCGTTTATGTGCGTATATTAGTATTTGCTTGCATAACTGCCAATTATAATGATTACACAAATTACGCCACAAAAACAACAAGTAAAACTATACATACATATAGGCAGAGAGTATGTAAGAATATAACTACAGTCAATGACAAATATATTCGGAAGGTTTTAAAAAATCAAACTGAAATAAACATTGTTTAACCACATTTCCGACCATCTGTCCTTCTAAAATTATTACAAACATTTAAAAAAATTTGCACAAAATCGTCCGTTAAAGAGGAGAATAATATTGAAATGTTATTCAAAACAACTTGACAGTTCATCTCTCTGGTTTGATTTCTCTCTCGTCTGGTTTCTTTAATAATTATTTTACGCTTCCAAATTATAAACTGAATTAATGATTTTATCACTCACTGTTTATTTACTGCTGCTCCTTTGAGTATACTATACCCAAAGTACTAGTTATTGCATGCCTGATGTAGGTGAATGCCTACATGCTAAGGAATGTAGTTGTATGTTTGTGTGTGTGTATTTATAGGTCTTTGTATTGTGTTGAGTGTATTGTAATTTTGTAAATAAACTTTATACAAATTCATTTTACAAAATAACACATTAAACTATTATGTATTTATTATAGTTTAGTAACTAAAGATAAACTATACAATATACAAACACACATACTAATGGCTTAGTTGCTGCATACTCACATGTATTAATGTTGTAATATACTTCATGAAAATTATATTAAACTTAATTTAAACATGATCAATAACCATAATAGATGACAGCCACCATAATACCACACCACACACAACACATTAGACCACATTACAAAACACATCATTTCTATACCTTTTCCGAGCATACTCACACACACTCACAGAGAGACATAAATCACATTAAGGTG